CGGCTAATTGAAGAGTTATAGCCGTTGGTTCAATCTCACGTAACCCAAGATTTTGGAAATGGAATAAGGCATAAGATTAATGCTAGCACCTAAATCAATGAGTGACCTAAAAGTGTTCTACCTCCAATAGTGCAAGGGATAGTGAACTTACCTGGATCGCCGAGTTTTTGTGGAAGAGGCCGTACAAGAATTTCACTGCATTGCTCCGTGAGTTGGATGATCTCGTTCCCTTGCAATTTATTCCTCTTTGTCACGAGCTCCTTGAGGAATTTCACCCACTTTGGCATCTTTTGAATGGCTTCGATAAACGGAATATTTATTTGGATTTCCTTCAACTTGTCCAAAAATCCTTGGTGCTCGGCATCGAGCTTCTTCTTTATAAGCTTCTGAGGGTATGGAATTGGGGGGGCTCGTGACTTCACTGTAGATGATGGTCTCTGTTCATGAGTTGCTTCTTTTTCCCCAATCACGCTCGGCTTCTCGATTACCGTGCTTTGCTTCTCCTTCCGTGGGGCTTCCTCCAATTGTCTCCCATTCCTTAAACTCACAGCGTTGCATTGCTCGACGTTGTTCTTCCGAGGATCTTGTGTATTTGACGGCAGTGCTCCCGATGGTCTCGTGGTTAGCTGGGTTGCAAGTTGACCCATTTGTGTTTCCAAATTCCGGATGGAGGCTTGGGTGGTCGTCATAAATTGGGCCAAGATATTTGCGAGGTCTCCGCCTTGAGGTGGTGCTTGAGGTGGATTTTGGAATGCGGGCGCTGGTCGTGAATAATTAGGCGGTTGGCCTTGAGGGGGTCCTTGCCTTTGTCCCTGCTGATTTCCTCCCCACCCAAAATTAGGGTGATCCTTCCATCCCGGATTATACGTGTTGGAGTACGGGTTCCTCTGTTGTCGGTTGGCGTCATGCACATAATTTAGCGACTCCGTTTCGTCTACGCTTTGATCGGGAGCTTGGACTGCATGGACTTGCTGAGTCTGCAAAGCCGCTACTTGCTTCGATAGCTTCTCCAATTGGGCCGTGATTGCAGTGACTCCGTCTAACTCCAAAATTCCTCCCGTCTTGACTGCTCCGCTGTTCGACCGGTCCGATGCTCGCATGTATTTGTTTCGAGCGATTCGTTCCAAGAGCTCGTATGCTTCGTCGTAGGTCAAACTCATGAACATACCTCCAGCTGCAGAGTCGAGCACGGTTCTCGAGTTGTCTTGCAATCCATCGTAAAATATTTGCAGTTGGCGCCACTCTTGAAGCCCGTGATTTGGGCACCTCCTTACTAGCTGCTTGAACCGCTCCCACGTCTCGAATAACGCTTCACCGGCTTCTTGTATGAAGTTTTGAATTTCTCTCCGGATTCTCTCAGTTTTTGTTGGGGAGTTGTATGTGTTCATGAAAAGTTGTCCTAGCTGGGCCCAAGACGAGATGGAATGCGGTGCGCGAGTTTGTAACCATTCTCTGGCTGCGCCTTGTAGGGAGTGCTTGAACAGGCGGAGTTGCAGTGCTTCGGGCGTTACTCCGTTCATCTTGTGCGAATCACACGTCTCGAGAAAGTTGACTAAGTGGAGATGTGGATCTTCGTGAGCCAATCCGCTGAATAACCCATTGTTCTGGAGCATAGTGAGGAGTCCCGCTCGAATTTCGAAATTGTTGGCTTCAATGGGGGGCTGCTGGATGCTTGATTGGAACCCATTGAGTGTCGGAACGGTGTACTCATGCAAGGCTCGTTGACGAGGTGGTGGATTAATTAGCTGGCGTTGGTTTTGCTCGTTGACGATTTCTCCTGCCGCATTCGGTGGGCGCCTTTGGTCACCTTCCCCACGGTTAATCTCTTCTTCCATTGTTGCGGGAGCGTTTTGAGCTAACCTA